CATAACTGGCTTAAAATCTACCAATGTCAGTCGCCAACAACTGTATGTTGTTGGCTGGGCTGAGTTATTCAGCAACAAAAATACTTATTGATGACCTTGATCAAGTAATTGGTAGTATGATTTATGCAGTTATGGTTAATGTAATTCTAAGTTTTGTGTCAATAATTGATCTGTGTGAGTGGGAGTAATAATTACTACAAATTGTATAAAGAAGTAAACTACAAGAGGAAAAAAATCATGCATTTGACCACTTTGAAAGCATTAGGGTAACATGTACAGGATAGAAGCTCAGCTACAGATATACATTGTAACACATATACTAATAAAGGTTGATGGTGGCTGACAGCATTAATAAAAAAAAATAGTATTCAACAGAGAACAACACTACACAATTTTCATTAGTAGCTTATTTTTAGACTTCTAAGTTCTCTACATAAAATAGTTACAAGAAGATTAATGTTAATCCACACGGTACCTATTTTTGGTAACTTGCAGTAATGTTTTTTTCTGTTTCTAGGCTGCTGAAAATATGACAGGCTGACATGGGAGAAGATTTCTGCATGAGAAGAATGCCAAGTTGAAGTTAATAGAGACTGAAGTAAAATAAGTGTTTTTGTGAAGGTTTTAGAATATTTATGTAATCCTTGAAAAGGATGATGTCTTAGAATGGCTTTGAAGAGTTTTTTACTAAGATAAGTTTACCAATAATCTCATTACTTGGTATTTTTGTAAGCTATTTGTGAATACAGTGCAATTGTTCTGCTTAGGCATCCAGTATTTTTTAAACTGTCTCAGATACTGCATAGTTACTGAACTTACTAGTGTGTAGCAACAAATGTTATAATGGGTATAGTTTGTTCACACATTCTGTAGAAGTGCTTATATAACCTGGTTTTTATCTCATGCTTTAATGAAAAACTACGTGTACAATTTGGCTTTGTTGTATGCATCAGATAGGAATGAAGCCCATCCTGACTTTGTTTTAATTAAGGTAAGGATAGTGACTTAAGTTTCAATCTGAAAGCAAGAAATAAAGCACTTTTGTTAATGTAGGTAATTATTTGTCCTTTTGATTCAAATTGCTGGAAAAAGTGCTTTTAATTTGGATAACAAAATTACTTGCTATCTATGCATAAATATATCTAAGTTTAAATTCTAGATTACATGGAATGTTTTACAGAGTTCAGATGCTAAGTCTGTTACAGAATCACAAAATTGTCATGATTGGAAAGGACCTCTGAGATCACCAAGTCCAACAGTCAACATAAAAACCCCAAAAAACTAAACAAAAAAAACCACCCAAAAAAACCAAGAACAACCACACAGTTCACCAGAAAACACCCAGGAAAAAAAATCCCTAAAGCCTCAGCCACTAGAGCATGCCCTCAGGTTCCTCATCTGCATGTTTCTTGCATACCTCCAAGGATGGTGACTCAACCACCTTCCTGGACAGGCTATTCTAGTGCCTAACCACTCTGTATAAAAATGCTTCCTAATATCCTATCTAAATGTTCCCTGCTGATTACATTTCCCTGCCCTGTTACATTTGTTCTGGTTACCAGACCTAAAAATATTGATGATATATTGTTATTTTCTAGTTATAGCAAATATGAGAAGCACTGGATTTTGTTGATGGGTATCAATGAGTCTTAAAAAGTCATTTGGTATAGGAATGTCATCTTATTCAGCACTAGGAATCTTCACTGCCAAAACAAATGTTTATAGTATATACAGTAAACTGTTTATCATGTTAGTTTCCAGTAAATATCCCTGCATCCAGGAATTCTACTTCATAAGAAAATGGTTTCTTGTGTATTCCTTGTCCGCTGCTGTTTAAACTTTTTCAGATTTTTTTTTTTTGTTATCATGGGTTCAAGGTGTAGTATTCATGGGACCTGAAGTAACCTCTGATGGTAAGGCGGACCACGTTTGGAAATGAAGCTGGAATCTTAGTTAAGCCAAACTTTGTGCAGAGAAAGAAAGTTGTTTAAATCATATGCACTCTAGGTCATAGCTCTACAAAAAGTGATCAAGGAAGCTAAATAGTTCATGCTGCTGACAGAATAGAAAAATATTTATATTACACTGAATCACCCTTATTTCCAATTAGCCTGTCCAAAAAAATCATCCTAGGAGTATGCTGTGAATTTCTGGATAACCACACTGGGAGACTTGTAAGTGGTATCAGTTTGCTTGCTCATATGAACAGCTAAAATTGCTTGCAAGGTGGTGTTGTAACTTCCTAACAACACGCAAGGTGGTGTTGTAACTTTTGAATACTGATTACAAAGCTTTTTGAAAACATTAAGATATCTCTAGTATGAAAAGATATCAGTGATGAAATTTACCCTAGAAAATCTGACAAGTCAGTCAAACATCATGAAAAAACTGGGTCACACCAGCACAAATGAGCAGTTCTTTTAATTTAATCTAGACTCAATGCTACATGTCAAAAATGAGGAAAGACTGGAGAGCATTCTTGTTTTCGGAGTTACATATAAGTCAGTGAGTTCTGACTTGTGAAACTTGAACTCTAAAAGTGTTCTGTAAACTGCAGCAAATTTGCCCAAAATAATTGAGTTCCTATTAGTGTGCAGGTTTCTGCTGGAGCTTTTTC